CAGTTTAGACTTAGATATTTGTCTCAGGAATTAGTGTGAATATAGATTGGTGGAACATTAGTTTCTGAAGATAACAGTAATTTTAACTGAAGATGACAATACTTTCCCCTAGATGGTCTGAAAACCAAATTTTCTGTTAATTCTTCTCTATTATATCTTCTCTACGATACAATAATTATTGGGGTAGGAATAGACCCAACATCATCTACATAATCTCATGAAAATGACACATCCTTTTGATAAAATTTTTCATTTCTTACTAATTAATTTATATTTCGTGTTTTCTTTTTTTAAATATAATATTTATGTACGAGTAATTCGTCTGCAAAAGGGTGAATTTGATTTGCAAAGAATAAATTTGATCTGCCAAAGGGTGAATTTAAAGTGCAAGAACTGTATCACTATGCCAAAAGAAATTTTTCCATGTTCTTCTGACAATGAGATCATTTTATGACTTTCTAAGTGTGATACTGAAATATATTTTTATTTAGAAAAAGTTTCTGTGAATATTCTGAAGCATTCCAAGGTCGTTAGGATAATTTTAATTTTTTTTATTGATTTATGGTATTTTAGACTGTGTTTCAACTTAGGGTTCGTTGTTTCATAATAACCAATTATAATACAATTAACTTCATTGTCATCATTGTCATCACTGTAATCAAATTTAATTCAATTTCGATTGAATTCGTGTACTCCATTTTACGACCTACAATTATTGATAATTGGAACGAAAATTGATTAAACTAAAATATGTTATAAATTATAATACACTTGGAAAAGTTTCTTTAAATAATATTTCATATTCAATATGTAAATATTGTACAAAATGTAATAAAAATAGGAATCTTGTAAAATTTTTATTTTGTCCACTTCTATATTCTAAATATATTTTACATATGTAATATTAATATAAAATTTTACATCTAAATGTATCCTAAAATTGTAATATTATTTATTATAATTTAAGAGAAAAAGAAATATTGTAATTTAATTTTTTATATTTTTTTTTAATTACCAAGTATAGATTTAAAATTTGACCTTTAGTACATCATTTTTATTATGCAGTTTTGCAAACTCGATGATTAATTGTTGCTCGGTAAATACACAGCTATTAACAGAAAATGGATTGATTGCCGTTTCACCCTTAGCAAGAGGTGATTGGATTACTCAGGATATTATTGATTCCCTGACAAATTCCTTCCAGTGGAGTCTCCTCAAAGTTTATCTCACGTCAAATTAATTACTGCAAATGTTGTGCTTCAGTTGAAGTTGAAAGTCGTGATTAAAAGATCTGATATTTTAGTTGCTGGTAGCTATTAATTAAATATTAACAAGTAATCTAATATCAAGTATTATGTTTACCTCTGTAATAAATTGTGAGATGAAATTAATTAAAAATTTTTAATTGCACCGTTACTTATGCGTATAAACGAATAAAGTGTTTCTTTGTCTCTTATTTGTTTGAAATATAATAAACAAGTTTTTAAACAAATTAAAATCATCTATGGTAAATTATAATATTAAAAAGTGAAATTTACATTTTTAAGAAATAATTATTCAATCGACAATCTCGTTTTTGAAATATAATATTTTATTTTATATTTATATTTTTATGTATTTTATACCTATATATTACACTACATTTTTATGTTAGAACCATTATTTAATTGAAAAACAATTAAACAAATTTCTTCTACGTTTTCTAACAGTTAACAAATTAATATATTTATATATTAATATTTAAATATTGATATCAATTCGCAATATAATATTTTAAACAAAAGGATTCACACTATCTAGAAAATTCTTCTCTATCTCTTGCCCTCTCTCTCACTCTTATAACACATGTTTACTCATGTGTAAACAACCAAATGTTTTAAACATTTTTTATCAACATTCACACTAGATTCCACTCGCACATATTATATTTATATCATCCCAAATGACTTTCATTTATTCTTCCTTATTACCATTCGCACATAAAAAACCAATACTCGCAATAAGTAGTAACTTAGTAACCCAAAAATTCTGACTACAAATAAATTAAAAATTTTTAAATACAATACTGTGAAATAGTATTCAATAATTCAATAAAAGAAGATATTCCTCTATTTTATGAATAATTTTAAAGGTATTTTATCATAACTTCTTAAATATTCAGTCTAAATATTAATAACATACTTGAAAGATATATCAATTATTTCTTTTCCCAATTTAGCCAATTTCAACCCCCATAAGTATAATATTCTCGACTATATATCAATGACCTTCAACCAAACTAATACGATGAACTTCTATATCGTGATAATTTTTAAATATTCTATGAGACCTTTTAACTCGTGCAACCCCTAATTAATTAGCCGAAGGGTACTAATAGCTTCTTCCTTAAATTGTCAAATAAAAATAAATAAAAAATTGACACGTACACGATATAAATAAAAATTATTTCCATTCATTTCATCGCGTCGATAGAATATATAACATATTCTCCACAAAATTATAACGACTAATTTACTCGCACCGTGGAACAAAAAGGGTTGAAAATCATCGATATATACCGTGCATAGTCTCTTCTATAATAACCGTATTACTGTTATATTCCATACGAATTCCACGTTCATCGTCCATCACACGACTGGGCAAATTGATATTATCCACATGCCCGTATAAACGAATCTAGCTTGTCAGTGTGTGAATAGCAAAGAATCAGCGTACGCGATTTCATAGGTGAGCAAACATCAGGTCACGCAAATGAGCGGCAAGGAGCAGTGCAAAGCGAATGAAAAAGGGATGAAACGTATTATTGATTCGTGGACAAAATCCATGAAAGGAGAGGCTCGGTCGTGAAAGCGTTTCATTTAAATAATTTCATGCGTGGATGCCCTTCGCCCCTCAAAACTGAATGGGGGCAAACTACGGCCTGGCTATTCATTTGACATTCATTTAGTCCGTGAAGTCGCGCGATGCTACGCGACGGCCATTTAGGACAACCAACAAGGATCCACACCCCCTGGCACAGGGGTGAAACGTAATCGTTGGAAAACGAGCGTCGTATTTTTTCCCCCTTTATCTCCTTTCGAGGAAACAGGGGCTTAGGATCAGGAATTAGACGCCTGGCATTCTACGGGACCTCGTTTGCACGATAAATAGCTGGTTACGTTGTTTTCGAGTGCCCACGAATACACAATGTTGGTCTTATCAAGCAGATGCAGGTTTATTAACTCCTATCAGAGAAAACGGGCTGTCTCGAGGCGAGATTGAAGGGTTCGCCAAGGCTACGAAGGGGTAGTTCTTTCTTTGAAAGGAAGTTTTTTCTTTTTTGGAATTTTGAGTTATATCGACCTGTTAGGTTATTAGTGGCCACATTAATCAATAGGGAAACCTAAAGAAAGTTATGGTGTATATTAAACTATGTTAGTTGGTGTCTTTTAAGGGTGCGATAATTCTTTTACACGATTGTCCATTTTGTGAAATCTTTACTGATTTTGAAATATTGTGATATCATATTTTATTTATAATTATGAGGAATGTTAAAGTTCGAATTATTTTAATTTGTGGGTTTTAAGAAGGGGTTGTTCTTTCTTCAGAGGAAATTTTTTCCTTTTTTGAGGACAAAGGGTAATTTTTGGTTACATCGACCTGTGTTAAGTTATTAGTGACCATATTATTCAATAGGGAGACCAAAAATAAAATTATGATGTATATTAAACTATTCAGATTGGTGTCTTTTAAGGATGCAATAATTATTTTGGACGATTGTCCATTTTGTGAAATCCTTAATAATTTTAAAACATTATATTATCATATTTCGTTTATAATTATAAGGAATATTAAGATACGAATTATTTAAATTTGAAGATTTTAAAAAGGGGTAATTCTTTCTTCAGAAGAAATTTTTTCCTTTTTAGGGGGCAGGGGTAAATTTTGAATTATATCTACCTGTTAGGTTATTAGTGACCATATTATTCAATAGGGAGACCAAAAGTAAAATTATGATGTATATTAAACTATGCAAATTGGTGTCTTTTAAGGGTGCAATAATTATTTTGGACGATTGTCCATCTTCTAAAATCTTTATTGATTTTAAAATATTATATTATTGTATTTTATTTATAATTATAAGGAATATTAAAGTTCGAATTATTTAAATTTGAAAGTTTTAGGAAGGAGTAGTTCTTTCCTCGAAAGAAATTTATAACAGGTCATCTTCTGTTTGGGGTTGATTATTTATTTCACTTCTTGAAAAATTATTTTAAGTTTTTGGTTGTTTATGTGTATAATAGGATTTTATGTACAGTAATTAATAGTGCATCGAATTTAGAGTATTCCTTTTATGTTTAATTGATAAAATTTATATTACAAATTGATGTTAATGTAATATGTTAATTAATATGTGTCTTTTGAAATTAATGAAGCAATAGGAAGAATTATATTTATTGCATTAATAATTACTGATTGTAATTCAATAATTCTATCGATAATTTTAAAAGATTAAATTAGTTAACAAAGATCAATGACTTTAAAATATTGTATCATCATATATTATTCATAACTATGAGAAATGTTGAAATTCGAGTTATTTTAATGTGGAAACTTTATGAAGTGGTAATTACTTCCTCGAAGGAAATTTATAATAGCTCATGTTTTGGAATTTGTTGTTCATACGTACAATAGAATTTCAGATAAAGTAATCAACAGCGTATCAAATTCAGAGAATTTTCCTTCATATTTTGCTAATATTTTTCACAAAATGGAAAAACTATTTCGAAGCTTGAAAATTGATCGACCCATTTGCGCTATAATGTTTTTATAACACCACTGTTTTCGAGTCCTCTAACAAAGAGATCACTCACCTATATGGTACTCAGCAAATCCTCCATTCTTTCATAAACCATCACAAAAACCATTCGCTAAAACCGTTCGAATCTCTTTGAAACGTGACAAAGGTAATAAAATAACAATTTGACAACTGACGATTAACAGCAAATCCATCGTTCCAGGCCGTGCGAAGCGAGGTGCAGAAGAGGCTTCCAAAGGAGTGGTCCGAAGACGAGGTGTCCCAGCTCACGGAACTCTGGCAGGAGCTGAAAGATGACGACGGTAATTTTCGAAGAACCTCTCACCGATTGAATTTCATAAGTGATGAACACCTCAGAGGAGGAACAGTATAATTCGACGGGGAATGCTCGATCCCTGGCTGACCGCGCCTTGAAACAGTCGAAGAATTTTGCGAATGCCTCGTTCGGGAATTCATTAGCACCCGTGACGATTCTCGAAATTTAATTAAGCGCCGAACATGGGTGACGGCCGGCTGTGCAGCTTGCGGCAATAATTCGGCTGCCCCGTCGGGACGCCGAAGAATAATATCCTTTCAGACAGAAAGATTTTCAGCAGTCTTGTAAAACTTGCCCCATCTCCGCTCACCCTCCCATGATTTTAATACTCGCGATTATTCTCGCACCCTGCCATGAGAATTCTCGAAAACTGCAGCATCAACTTTGTCCCTTTCTGTTCGTTTCAACTTTGATAATGCAGTTTTTACCTCGCAGATGGATTTTTCCCAAGTCGCTGACCTTTGCCTGTCAGGGTGTTAGGGTTATATGATCTTCTCGTTAGCACCGGGGCTATCGACTTACGGTGTGTGTATGTACAATACGTAAATATAGTATACCAGGATAAGAATAGTTGTAATGATGAAGATGAGTATGATGGTATATACAGGGTGGTTCATTTGAAAGGGATTAATTGAGTAGCTTTTTTATTAATTGATATTTGAGCAGATTTTTCGTAATATGCAATATTTGGACTGTTTCAAGAGATGTGTTCAGTCATGGAAAGAATTTTCTCTATCACTGAGACTTCTTTAATTTAAATACATTTATAATATATTTAATTTATATGGTATATTTTTAAGTAGAAAGTGATTTTGTGTGAAGAAATGAGTCTAGGATGTGAAATATTTAGACACCCATCCTATTTCTCCCTTCGTTCTTCTATTTTAAAATATTAATTTAACACTATAATCCCCTATAATATCACATAATTTTGTTCTATCGTGTCTCTTAAATTGTATTTTAATTGTTCATTGCTAAACTCCCTTATTATAACTAAGGGATGTATTTATGATAATTAATGCTCCCTCGTAGCAAGATTTCTAACTTTTTCCTGCCATAGACAAATAGAATCCTGATATTTAATTATGTTTACAATATATTTAATTTAAATGATATATTTTTATGTAGAAAGTGATTTTGTGTGAGGAAATGAGTCTAGGATGAGGACTAATAGGCACTAACTCTAAATTTAGCACTTTAACTCCTATAATATCACGTGATTTGGTCCTAATGTGTCTCTTAAATTTTATTTAAATTCTTTATTGATAAATTCCTGTACTATAATTAAAGGATATATTTAAAATAATTATTACTTCCTTATAGTAAGAGTTTTAACTTTTTCTTGCCATAGACAAATCGAATTCTGATTATGGAGGGTTAAAGTCAACAGAAAATGAGTTTAAAACGTTACAAAAATATAATTATTGAACAACAACCCAAAGCACTTACAATACCCCAGATAAATCACTGTGTAATACATTTAATTATATTTATAGTATATTTAATTTAAATGATATATCTTTAAGTAGAAATTGATTTTGTATGAAGAAATAAGTCTAGAATGTGAAATATTGGGCACCCACCCCATTTCACCCTTACTTCCTCTAAATTTAATACTTTAACCCCCTATAATATCATATGATTTGGTCCTAATGTGTCTCTTAAATTTTATTTTAATTGTTTATTGATAAATTCCTGTACTATAATTAAGGAATGTTTTTATGGTAATTAATGTTCTCTCATAGTAAGATTTTTAACTTTTTCCTGCCATAGACAAATCAAAACCTGATGTTTAATTATATTTATAATACATTTAATTTAAATGGTATATTTTTATGTAGAAAGTGATTTTGTATGAAGAAATAAGTCTAGAATGTGGAATATTAGGCACCCACCCCATTTCACACTTTATTCCTCTAAAGTTATTACTTTAACCTCTTATAATATCACATAATTTGGTTCTGTCGTGTTTCTTAAATTTTATTTTAATTGTTTATTGCTAGACTCCTGTACTATATTTAAGGGATGTATTTATAATAATTATTACTTCCTTATAACAAGATTTCTAACTTCTCCTTACCATAGACAAATTAAATCCTGATTATGGGGGGTTAAAGTGAACAGAAACTGAGTTCAAAAAGATACAAAAATATAATTACTGAACAGCAACCCAGCCCATATACAATGCCCCAGATAGATCACTGCGTAACGGTGCCTTAATCTATTACTAGCAGGAAAGTTTGTAGAGTAACGGAGAAGGCTCCCGTGTAATTTTCCTGATTCGATTTTCCGCCCGTCCTCTCTATCCTATTGAACGAACATTTCATCCCCTTAAATGTCGAATTAATAGCGATACGGTTTATACTGTGTACAACAGATCCAGTAGACCTGATCTTCAACGGGCTCACAATAAAGCGACCGAAGCCAAAGATCAAGGAGAAGCTTTTGGAATTGGGATTGGCCAAGGATCGCAAGGAGCTACGCAAAAAGCGATCGAGAAAAAGCAACCACGGTGAGTGTTCACTCTCTCTTTTCCCGCATCCTCTTCGCCCTCTTACCCCAGCCTTTTCTCCGCTCTCGAGGCGGCTCTGAAGCACCCCTTGTCCGGGCCAATCCTATCCCATTCCATTCGCATCTGTCTTTCTTACCATCCTTAGATTCCGCGACTATTCCCATCCGATCAGTCTTCTGCTAACACGATTGCCCGCGACTGCACGCACTGGACACGTTTCTTGGAATAAGGACCCGACACTTGTCAGTGGATTAAGGAAAGTGAGCAGCTGAGATATACAAGTGCGGGGTTGAGACTAGAGAGAGAGAGATGCCAGTCGTCTTGAAGAGTTTTCTTCTGACTGCTTATGATTGCAGAAGGTTTTTTCAGGTGGGCATTGCGCAGAGGCTTGGTCTCGTTTGGCTTATGGGGGTTGTGGAATTGGCTCCGTGAATGAGAGATGTTGAAGCATAAGTGTGCATGTGTATGGGTGAATGATGGTGTGAGTGAGGATACGTTGTGTGGGGATATTCGTTTCGTGTATGAGGATAATATTATGGTTGGTATGTTCGGTGATTGTTATAGGAAGGAGTCAGTGAGAGAGTGAGAGAGTATACAGTGAGCAGTTAGAGAGATTACATATTGTGAATACTCTCGAGACAAAGGAGTGTAAGAGAGACAGAGAAGAGTCAGTCAGTGAGAGAGTGAGAGAGTATATAGTGACAGTGAGAGAGATTACTCTCGAGAGAAATGAGTGTAAGAAGGATAGAGAAATATAGCGTAGAATAATTATATTTATTATATTCGTCTGACTGTTTTGTAATTAATCCTTTGCACTCGAGAGTGCAAAAATTTCACAAGATTTGGAAGATCGATATTAATTAATATATCAAATTTAGTGTAATGTAACAGTGTGCGAGGTATTGAAATCAAATAATTCTACAATCCTGTTATTATACAATTCTTTATTTACTGCTTAAAAAAGTATTGTCAGTTTTTTAGTAGAGAATCTTTGAATTTCTACTCTTCTTTAGCCAAAAAATCGTCTAGTGCAAAGGGTTGATAATGAGAGTAGTATTCTATAATTATACATTATCGTCCAATTTGCTCGCAGGGGTAGCCTGTGGGGTATGCAGAATTATTGGATCGATTAACCCTTTCGTTGGTTATATCGTGTATACTCGTGTTGAAAAGATGGCAGTGTTTTGTTTCATGATGAGTATAGTTCTTGTGGAGGAAACAAATTGGCTTTTGCTATTTGAAATACAAATTGGATAATACATTTTCATATTTTTATTGCGTTTTGGAATAATAATATTTGATTATTTAATGTGAGGAGGTTTTTAATTCCTAATATTATTTATTTATGAACTGGTAAAATTTAAAATTCGGTAAAGAATCTTAATGAATTTTAAACAATAAAAATATTCATTTGTTTAGAAACCGTTAGGATTTTTAAGTAAATGACAATTAAAAAAGTTTATCATTTATTTGAGTTAATTAACATATAGGTGTATATTTTCGAAATTAAATAAAACACTGATAGTGTTGAATATTGGAGGTTGCTTTGATATAGTGTAAGTTTGAGATGGTTGAATGAACAAAAATTTTGTGAGCATAAATTATATATATATATAATATATATTATATATTATGTTATATATTATATTGATATATATTTAATAATTATAGCATAAATAATTATTAACTATATATTAATGTGTATATTAATTTTAATTTTATTACTATAAAATTGAAATAAATAACTCCAGTGTTCCAACCTACTTACATATCTAATTATAACTGGAGACTGCAGTACTCTTCTGCACAAACTAATGTAAAACGTTCCTCGTTAAAAATAATACTGCAAAATAAGATTAATATCGTATAATTCAGAATAATTCCTTAATCTGAAGAAAGATGAATTTACAGCAACCATAAATTTAATATTATTTCGCAGAAGAGAAAGAAATATTTCTACAATCATCTACCAAATTTTACACAAAAGCACGATATTAATTTTTATAATGATTGGATTAATTTGATCTTTTTTTAAATAATCAGTACAATTGTTATAATAATTTTATTTCAAATTAAAATTCTAAAGATGCAATATTTTTATCGTATCTAAGAAAAATTTTTGTAATATTTAGTCCAATTTTGTTTCTTTTCTTTAAATATTTAGTTTACGTGTTATAAGTTTTATTATAATTTTCTTGCAGAATAAAATACTGAAAACACAGTTCGAATGTTACGTATCACTTGGTGGCCATTTATAGCCATTTATTTCTAAATATTTTTCGAGGCATAAATCTCGATTCGCTGTTTATCCGATTCATAAAATCCCCACGCGCATTGACGATCTCAAATAAGCAAAATACACATGAGGGATATTTTTTAAAACACTATAGACGAATTTGTATCAATTATTTGGCAGGCTACACGTTCAACCAATTCCATGAATCGTGAACGTAGAAGATACGATCGAAATAATATTTGTCTTTCTATTTCGGGCGTTGTGCGAGCAGTTCATGGCAGCATCGTTGCAGAATATAAATCTTGTTATTTAATATCGAAAAACACGGACTCGGGCCGTAGTTTTCCTACAACTGGGCCAATATCACTCGTCTCTATCTCCCATTACGTCGCTAGCAATTTCATATTTATCATTTGTTATTGTTTTTCTGTTTCCCGCCGTGTCCTCTTATTTGTATTCAATGCATCGCCATAGATCGCACGGTAGATAGACAGTCAGGCGCAAAAGTCTACGTATGTACATCCCATAGCTTTAAAATGTTGTAACAAGGATAGTAATATATGTCATATTTTTGTCACTGAACGTTGAAATATTCGAATTCGTATGTATTTTAAAAATTTGTTAAATTTGGGTATATTTGTTTAATTTTTTAAAAGAGAAATGTAAAAGTGTACTTGAATACTTGGTTGCGAATTTATTAGTAACATTTGGTAAATAGTTAATTTACTTCTAATATTGAAGTTTAAAGATAATGTAATTTTTAATTTTTAATTTTTCGTTTATTAATGTTATTATATTTTAAGAATATTACTAATAAACGAAAAATTTACAAATAATATTAAGATTTATAAATATTGTAATTTAACAATATTATTAATAAATGAAAAATTTATTAGTAATATTATAATTTAAAAATGTTATTGTTAATTGAAGAATATTAGTAGTAAATGAAAATTGATTAGTAATATTTTAATAAAATTACTACTAATAATATTTAGTACTAATTAGATTATTTTACTAATATTTGATATTAGGGAAATTATTTTATTAGTAATATTCAGTAGTAAAAAAATTGCTTTATTAATAATATTGAGTACTATGGAAATGAAGCTATTTTGGTATTAATAAAATTATAATAATTTTTGTTAAATATCTTCATTAAGTAACAAATTATTCTAAGTATCACTTTTGATGACATGCATTTTACATTGTTATGTGTCCATCGTTATGTTTAATGAATGGAAGTTTTTGATTGCATCTCTTAGTTTGGCTTTCCCAAAATATTTCATTCTTGAAAACTCTTATGTACTAAAATATTATACTTCATTTAACATATTAATATTGTAATTTTCCTAAATTTATAGTATTGTTTTGTCAATTGAAGTTATTTTTCCATATGAATAATTCTGTTCACGCTACTGTTAACTATAATTCACACAATCTTTGACCAATTTAGTACATTTTCAAAATTTTTTCAAATTAATCCATTACGCTACTGTACAATTTTTTAATATTAATATACTAAAGATAATACACTAATAATAAAAAATGTAATACCAATACGAGTATACTATATCAAAAATAATACTATACTATCATAAACATACTAAAAAATATACTAATTCCAATATTTCAATACTTGTAAGTATATTATACTATGTATAATATTGTAGTATACTATTATCAGTATATTTATACAAAATAGTAAATTGAACTATACCATACATTAAAATTATTACCAAATTATAGAAGAATATTTATTACTTATTAGTGTATTAAATTAGTATACCAATAACTGATAAGTACCTATTTTCACATAACAGTAATATATATATGATATAATACAAGTCATATATATATTAATAAGTACTTTAATAGCTCGATATACCAATAATAACTTTAAAATGAAACCCAATCTCATCTTACATTTCCATCTACATATGCAACGCCTTACATAACCTCACTTCAGCCTCTTCCTGTAACCCACCTAATCAAAATTCAACGTACTTATCCAAACTTTTGCATCCGACTGTATAAGTTCAGAAGATGAAGCATAAAAGCAAACTTCTGTCTCTGTATTATATATTAACAAACATTTTAATAACTCGAAACACCAATAACAATTTTAACATCGAAATCACACCCAATCTCATCTTACATTTCCACCTACATATATACAACGCCTTACATAACCTCACTTCAGCCTCTTTCTATATCCCACCTAATCAAAATTCAGCGTACTTATCCAAACTTTTGCATCCGACTGTATAAGTCCAGGAGACGAAGCATAAAAGCAAACGTTTATCTCTGTGTTATATATTAACAAGTATTTTAACAATTTGATACACCAATAACAATTTTAACATCGAAATCACACACAATCTCATCTTACATTTCCATCTACATATATACAACGCCTTACATAACCTCACTTCGGTCTCTTCCCATGAGCCATTTATCCAAAATTCTACGTACTTATCCCAACTTTTGCATCCGACTGTATAAGTCCAGGAGACGAAGCATAAAAGCAAACGTTTATCTCTATGTTATATATTAACAAGTATTTTAATAACTCGATACACCAGTAACAATTTTAACATCGAAATCACACACAATCCCATCTTATATTTCCACCTACATATATACAACGCCTTACATAACCTCACTTGAGCCTCTTTCTGTAACCCACCTAATCAAAATTCAACGTACTTAACCAAACTTTTGCGTCCGACTGTATAAGTCCAGAAGATGAAGCATAAAAGCAAACTTCTATCTCTGTATTATATATTAACAAACATTTTAATAACTCGAAACACCAATAACAATTTTAACGTCGAAATCACACCCAATCTCATCTTACATTTCCACCTACATATATACAACGCCTTACATAACCTCACTTCAGTCTCTTCCCGTAAGCCACCTACCCGAAATTCAACGCACTTATCCAGACTTTTGCGTGCGACTGTATAAGCCCGGGAGATGAAGCATAAAAGCAAACTTTTGTCTCGGCTTACGTGCCATCGAAACGTTTCCACGCCGCGCACCTCGCCCCGAATCGAATGCGATTCCGCGAGCCGGAACACCCGGTATGCTTCCAGATGCAATGGCGGACCTTAATATCGCTTGTGCGCCGATCGAAATACTCGAGGAACGCGAGTGGAAATATTTTTCACCGCGTTAGAGCGAATTCCTCATCATTGTAACCCACGTTTCCACGACGTTCGCGAAGATCGTTTCATTTATTACGTCCACGTTCGTTTCTGGCTCTGATTCGGCGAACGATCGAAATTTTCCTCGAACTTCGTTAAAGTTAATGAAGTTCGCTCGAGCTTCGGAAAATTCGGAGTTTCGAAAGTTCGAAAAATTACCAGGCTGCCAAGTGCGTCCTTCCTTTTCAGCCCGAAGATATTAACGCGACGTGTAAGTTCGAATTTCTTTGTCTCAGGCTCTTGCGGAATTATACAGGTTGGGGAGTGGGTATAATCGAATATTTTTCTCTGATTTTTTTTCCCCCTTTTCTTTCTCTTTCGTTTCGAATAGTTGAATTTTTCAGCAGCTAGCTGCAGTGCAGCATGCGGATATGTAACCTGGCCGTTCGCGACTTTAACTTGAGCACCGTAATTCCAAACTTTCGTCCTACTTCTCCGTGCCTCTGCTAGGTCGTAATGCGTTATATACTATTGGAAAACCGGAAGAATTTTTAAGTTTCCGGAATCTTAATTAAAATTCTATTACTTTTCTGTCTGTTTATGTGAATTGGTCCATGTAAAATTGCTCGAGCACAGGAATTTCTGTTCCAGGCTAACAAATTTTTATCCAGTGATAGTGGAATATCTGCATCGATGTAAACTCGATTTTGGAATTTCAGAATTTTCGTTAAAATTGTGTTATTTCCCTGTTTGTTCATTAACGAGTCTATTATAGGGATTTTCACGAGTATTGCAAAGTAACAAATTTGTTTATCTGTCGGAGATGAAATATTTGGAGAATTGTAGGTTAAATTACTTATTTTTATTTCTTATATTAGATATAGAAAAGGAATAAATATTATAAAATAGGAAAGTTTAATTAAACAAGAATTTGTAATAATTTTTTGAGTAGAGTATTTCCTTAAGTTTTTTAAATTTAATTAAAATTTAAAAATTACTTTTCCATTTGTTCGTGGATAAGTTGATCTCGCGTTGATGATTAAGAAAAAGATAATCTTCTAAAATAATAATTTTTAATTGTATCTTCTGAGTCTTAATTATAATTGTATTATCTTCTTATTTGTCTGTAAACTTTATTTTAAATTCGATTCGAAAATGTTAAAATAGTATCATATTTACTGAGAAACAATTTTTCTACGTGATAACAATCAAATATTTGCTATTAAATGCAATAATGTTAATAATAAATTTCTGAATTTACAATTTAGTAAATAATAAATGTCACTAGACTCAGTGACACTGATTGCATAGTATTCTAAAATGGAATATTATCGCAATAATTTTCTATATTTTTATATAATACCATTAACATTCTAACTTTTATTTTTATAATTATCATACTTCTTATAGATAATAACCATAATCGGTCTTTCGCATCTCACAGAATAGTATTTTCCTGCATTAATAAATCATCAAAAATTGAAACAGAGGTGACAAACAATAATCCCTAAACGAACAATTGAAGCTATAAAATCAAATTCCACTAAATAATCAGAAAGCAAATAACACCTTTTCCAAGCAATCACCTAAGTTGACTAAACCAACATAATTATATAATACTACTAACATTCTAACTTTTATTTTTATATTTATCATAATAATTTACAATTTAGCAACTAGTAAATATCACTATACTCAATTACTGATTGCATAGTATTCTAAAATGGAATATTATCGCAATAATTTTCCACACTTTTATATAATACCACTAATATTCTAACTTTTATTTTTATATTTATCATAATAATTTACAATTTAGCAACTAGTAAATATCACTATACTCAATTACTGATTGCATAGTATTCTAAAATGGAATATTATCGCAATAATTTTCTACACTTTTATATAATACCACTAATGTTCTAACTTTTATTTTTATATTTATCATAATACTTATGGATAACAACCATAATCGGTTCACTGTATTTCACAGAATAGTGTTTCCCTGCATCGATAAATCATGGAAAATTGAAACAGAGGTGACGAAGAATAATTCCTAAACGAGCAATTGAAACTATAAAATGAAATTGCACTAAATAATCAGAAAGCAAATAACACCTTTTCCAACCAATCACCCAAGTTGACTAAACCAACATAATTACCAAGCATCGAGTCGTCCAATTTACCATCAGCAGCAAATTTGACTTTCACATAGAAATGTACACACTTAAAACGTTTGCCTGTAAAACGGCGAGAATCGTGGAAAGCCATATCGAAAAACGTTTATATCCATTTCCCATTACTTTGTAAAAAGGTAAATCGTCGTGGGAAACGCAGTCTGCCAGTAATTCCGACGAGGATGAAGGCAGCGACGAGGAAGCTGGAAAATCCTCGAGCAATAAGAACACGGCTCCCAATAAACCGAGGAACAAGGGGGCGAAGAAAAATGCGAAGAAACAGCCGACGATGGTTTACACGGATGCACAATTATCTGGACTCTTGAGGGATGTCATCGAAAAAAGTGAGTAACACCGTATCGCTCCCTCTTTTGTCAGCTATGTCGGACATTTTCAGTGATTTATGGGAATAAAATTCGCGGCAGCTACTTCGAATATTATCCACCCCTCCTTGGCACCTCTGGAGAGAACAGACAAATGTCTTCGGAGGGCGAGAAGGGGCCGGAGTGATCCGCAGTGATCGTTCGAGTGTAGAAGAAAAAAGAAATGGAGAAAGTAATGATTTGTCAAGGAAGCTGCTGCTCACTGTACAAATGTGACCCTGCATTGGCTCCAAGTACCGGTTTATCCCCCATGGCTTTTGGCGAAGGAATCGTTACAAAACGATCCTGTAGTCCTCCTGCGTCGAACCAATGTGCTTGTCACCTATCAGAATACCATTGCTCTCGAGAAGGGTCCCAGGTTCCGCTGACATTTCAAAGCAGGCTTGATATATTTTCTTAGGATATGCGTGAACTTAGGTTCCGCTTACATCGTCCAAGATTTATTTATTCCTCGGGTCACTGTATCCTACCCTTCATACGTGACTGGGTGCACCTGCAGTCGTAAACACCTGGGAATTTTCTAGTGGGTTATGTCGTATCTGTGATAAAAATATTTGGAATAATTTTTGGTATTTTGAAAGTCGATTTATTTTTAACTTCTTTCGTGCTTTATTCGATAAAGGGTTTTTAAAGTTCCGAATGGTCGTTTTAATATTAATTGGAATTTTTCTTTGAATTTTCTATTTATAATTAATTTTAATACTGGATTACGATGGTCTGGAATTAATTTCTTCCAAATTGATAATATTTTGGGGGAAATTCAAATTGTTTTGAATGATTGAGAATAGATGAATTTGGCATAGTTCAAATTTCAAGTAAATTTAGAAATTTGAAGAAAGGGAGTTTTGATATTATTTCAAATATATATTGTAATAGTAATATTTTGGGGGCAACTCAAATTGTTTTGAATAATTGAAAACAGATGAATTTGTTACAGTTCAAATTTCAAGTAAATTTAGAAATTTGAAGAAAGGGAGTTTTGATAATATTTCAATTATATATTGTAATAATAATATTCGATAGTAATATTATATTGTATAGTAATATTGAATAGTAATATTCAACTATAAATTTTAATAGTCTTACAACTAAAAATTTTAGTTGTTTTAAATAATTATCTGAAAGCAAATTTCTTACAGAATTTAAATTTCAAATTTCCTATATGAACTGATAACAAATTTGTTATTTCTACAAATTCGTAATTCCTTAATTTTCGTCAAGGAGGGATATCTTTAAATAATAGTCAAAGACAAAATGTCTGCCTCCATTTTAATATTAATTATAATTTTTCTTTGAATTTTCTTTTTATAATTAATTTTAGTAATGGATTATGACAGTCTGAAATTAATGTCTTTCAAAATGATAATATTTTAGAGGAAACTCAAATTGTTTTGAATGATTGAAAATATTATAAATGAATTTGGTACAGTTCAAATTTCAAGTAAATTTAGAAATTTGTCAAAAGAGAGTTTTGATATTATTTGCATTATATATTGTAATAGTAATATTATAGTGTATATATTCAATAGTAATATTATATTACTAGTATAGTAATATTCAACTATAAATTGTAATAGTCTAACAACTAAAAATTTTAGTTGTTTTAAATAATTATCTAAAGGCAAATTTCTTACAGAATTTGAATTTCAAATTTCCTATATGAACTGATAACAAATTTGTCATTTCTACTAATTCGTGATTCTTTAATTTTCTAATTTTAAGAGGAATTATATTTAAACAATAATCAAAGACAAAATGTCTGCCTTCATTTTAATATTAATTATAATTTTTCTTTGAATTTTCTTTGTATATAATATATTGTAATAGTAATATCATAGTGTATATATTCAATAGTAATATTATATTGTATAGTAATATTCAACTATAAATTGTAATAGTCTAAAAATTTTTGATGTTTTAAATAATTATCTAAAAGCAAATTTCTTACAGAATTTAAATTTCAAATTTCCTATATGAACGTATATCAAATTTGTTATTTCTATAAATTCATAATTACTTAATTTTCTAATTTTAAGAGAAAATATATTTAAACAATAGTCAAGGATAAAATGTCTGCTTTCCAAATTAGAAAATTTTCCAATCGAGATAACAGATATATAACTCAATTGAGCTACTTATATTATTACTACTTACGAGTTCATTGCTTATTACCTCTAATAGATTGAATAAATGTTCTATTAATTTGGTTAAAAATTCTTACTCTAACGATATACCATGAAAGTATAACGTTATCGTTACTTCATGGAAAAACGTAATAACAGGTCTTTTGATAAATCAGATATGAGCCCAGCTCTGGAATGGATCAAGGAATCCCTACAGGATGTCCTGGACGATCAAGACGAGGAAAGCTCCGAAGGTATCCCCTTAGTCCCGCTGACAGATTATTCGTCGGCTGCGATGGATTCACCGAGCTTTCAGAAGCTTATTCGAGCTATGGGATTCGCGCCTCCTGCTGATGAACAAGAATCTTATTGGCGCATACCGGCTAATATGCTTAGCTCAATGATTCAGAAGCGCTGCAATCTTATCGAGGCTGCATTGGAAGGAAACTTCATCGAAGAAGGTATTTTTCCCCCTTTTTTAAAATATATAATATAAATTTATATGCGCATACCGAATGAGAGTAAAAATTTTAAGATTTTGAGGAAAATTCTAAGATAGAAACTATCATGGAAGATAGTTTAATGCTTAATTGTATCAGGTCCATAATAGATATTGAGGGAATAATTATTTTGGAATGAGAGATGTTATAAATTGAACTATTGTTTTAAAATAATGACTGTTATAGATAGGATTACTGTTTGAGATAATAGATATTAAAAATGGAATTGTTATTTTGAAATAATAGGTGTTATGGATTGAATTACTGTATTAAGTTAATGAATGCTATAGATAGGATTAGTATTTTAATATAATAGATATTGAAGATGGAATTATTATTCTAAAATATAGGTATTATGGATGAAAGAGCTATTTTAAAGTAATAGATGTTATAAATTGAAGTATTGTTTCAAGATGATAGATATTACAGTAAAAGTAGTAGCTAAAATTAAAGTGATTAAAATAAATTATTTAAAAGATTAAAAATAATATATGATAGATAGAATTATTATTTTATGTTGTTATAAATATATTGCTATAAAAGATGTTATAAATAAGATACAAGAAAATGTTATTAAGGCTGTTATAGATAGGATTACTGTTTGAGATAATAGATATTGAAGGTAGAATTGTTATTTTAAAATAATAGGTATTATGGATTGAATTACTGTATTAAGTTAATGAATGTTATAAATAGTATTAGTATTTTAAAACAATAAATATTGAAGATGGAATTATTATTCTAAAATATAGGTATTATGGATCAAATTGCTATTTTAAAATAATAGATGTTATAAATTGAAGTATTCAATAAGTATTTCAAGATGATAGATATTACAGTAAAAGTAGTAGTTAAAATTAAAGTGATTAAAATAAATTATTTATAAGATTAAAGATAATATATAATAAAAATAATTATTATTTTATATTGTTATTAATAAATTGCTATAGAAGATGCTATAAAGAAGGTACAAGAAAATGTTATTAAGCCATTTACATGTTGTATATGAAATTATTATATTGGATAATATAAACGAAATAAAATTGCTATTTTAAGATAATAAATATTATAGGTAGAATTATTATCTCAAACTAAAAAGAAAATTCGTGGTTGATTATAGCAGTAAATAGTTCATTTCGAGCTACGGAAAATTTTCGTTGTAGAATTGAATAAAAATTTTAATTAATTAAGATATGAATAATAAATGTGCTCCAGCATTATGCATTGCTGAATTTATTTTTGAAATTTAATTCACGAGATTTTTGCTTTCTCATTTAAGCTAGTAATAGTCTCAATAGCTCCGTTCTTTCATAATACCTTGATTAATATAATTCGGTATTTGACCAGTATTTATATATTTTTCTACTAAATATTATTAAATTTATTTTTATGTTTTCACGCATTTCATAAGTAACGCCAAAAGCACCTGCAAAGTTGCAATCTGATAATGATGAAAGCATTGGGAGCGAGGATGAGGACGTTCTAGCGAATATTAGAAAATATTTCACTTCTAAAGGTACGTTAATCTCGTAAATTTATTTTTAATACCGATCTTTTATTATTAAAATAACATTATTCGTAAAATGAAATATTTATTCACAAATTGATTTCAGATAACTGTTAATTATTTTTGATGGATTTGTAAAAACTGAGATTTCAATTTATTCTTCCACTATTTGCTATATTTCAATATATTAATATATTTTATTAATAAAAATTAATATTTTCATTAATAAAAGATATATAAAATTCAATTGGAAAATAATTTATCGTAATTCCCAGTTTGATGTATTTATTATTTTCTTTTTATCTGTAATATCATAATATCAAAATTAATTAAAATCATTATGCATTGATATAGTCTGTCACAAAATGCTTTTTTCCATGTTCTTATTAATTATGTAAAATGGCATGCATATACCTAAAAACAATATACCTAATTATTCTCTGTATTGTTGAAAGTAAAGTCAAAAAAGAAGATAACGAAGGAGCGAAAAAAATAAAATTGAGAAATTTAACAAATAAAAAGTTAAATTAAAAGTTTGTATAACGTACAGGAGGATTCTAGCAACTGTGTCAGGGTATAACTATATTTCGTGTTAAAAAAATATTGTAGAGGAAAATTTTGAAAATTTCGCAGTATCCGATAAATTCTACCATTCCACGACACAATTGTTTTTTTTTTTTTTTTTTTTTTTTTTTTTTTTTTTTTTTTTTTTTTTTTTTTTTTTTTTTTATATTTTTTTTTTTTTTTTTTTTTAAGTGTACGCATGCACTTGCAAATGCAGTTGCAGGTTTTTTGAAACGAAACCATACCAATTTTTTTACATGGTAAGTCATACTGCGAATGAAAGCTCTTTGAAAAATCAATACTTTACCGGATATCTCACATTTCTCAAAACAGAGCTCTAGCCCGGTTTAGTTCCTAAAATCACACTGGATAATATAAACTCTCTGTGATGTCCAAAACTAGAAAAATAGTATCTTTTGTGAAGTGTAAAATAGTACTCAAATTTTATCGTTATATTGATTTTAGTATATTTAATGTAATTTTAATGTATTTAGTTTTTATTGATTATAGAAAAATATTTCATTTTAGTACTTATTACTCTGAAGTAATAAAGTGATAAAAATTGTCTATTTTTCACAATAGTGGAGGAATAATTATATATCTCGTTTCGTGGATTATTTTATATATGTACCCATATATGGTCTTATTAATTTAAATTCGGTTATTGGTATTTTATTAATTATTTTATATTTTTTTACCTCTGAGTAAAATTAATATTGAAAAAAAGAAGATTTTCTATCACTTGTTAATTGGAAAATATTGTTAACTGGAAACTCTGTATATCTTTTAGCTGAGCCACAGCCATCGACTTCTCGTGAATCTGATACTGAAGCTATTATCCATTCCACGCCGAAGCCATTAAAAAGCTCTACAGTTACCTCAACGTCGATCGAACATGTCGATACAGAAGTGGAGGAAGCAGAAACAAGAAACCCGCAAACAGTCGGTATGTATTTCTTCGTTCCAAACTGACAGTCATATGCCATCTGGTGGTAAGACCCGTTAAACACTATGAACTCCGGGTATTTACCAGCAAACATTCAGCAGTTAAGCTCAATCAATATTTTAACTAAAATAAATTTAATAATGAGCATTAATTACAGAAATTTCGAAATCTGAAGGAAGAAAGTCCGGCAGACGTATTAATTTACTGGCTGATTCATCTGACTCTGAATTGGAGATAGAAATCAATACTAATAATGCTGAAGGTAAGTAAAAATGTAACAACTATCAAAGTGAAGATTATAATATTGTTTTATCTTTATGTATTATTAATTGGAAATTTGCATTAGATGAAGGAAAGAGACATCGATCCGAAGAGTCAGACGAGAATGAAACTGTGAAGAAACGTCGTCTAGTGGATAGCGACGAAGAGAAGGAGCCATCAACGTCAATGGATACCGAGATGAAACGCACTAAAACGATTATTAGTGACGACGAGGAAGAAGTAACACAAGAGCAACGTAAACAACAAAGGTCATCTCGCGCAATAATTAGCGACGATGAAGATTGATGAGAAAAGAAAATTTAACATACAATTTATTATTGTATCTAATAACATTTTCATTTTATTCGTTGCTATATGTTTGTATAATTTTTGGAAATAAAAACAATTTACCTTCGCCATAACCTTACTATATGACTACCTTATTTCCATTTCTTACATTAAAAGGAAATTAATAATCATTTTATTCACAAAATAAGTTGTTATTTAAAAATGTATCAAGTAATTGATACAATTAAAGAACTATATAATGTACTATACAAAAAAATAATAATTCATTTGTTGAAAATCAATGACGGTGGGAAAACGAACTTACCGACGCTCGCGTGGATAAAACAGTTTCAGCCTGCTATTTCCAAGATTCTGGCGTCTGTGACAAAGTATGAGCTGCTGTGGTCTCCTCCGTCACCTAATATGCCCTTACAGGTAATTGGACGCACCCGGGGTACACTTCAGGGTGCCAAGAAAAACAGTTCCCGAAAGGCGTCCACATTTCGCCAAGTAACTACTAGGCGTACATGAATATACAAGAAGCTCGAGTCGTACTGCGCATCGTTTCCGCGCATCCGTTACCGCGTATTATTACCGCGCATTGTTACCGCGCATCGTTACCGCGCATCTGTTCCCGCGTTATTCTGTCTGTCGCGTAACTTTCTTTCTTACGTGTAAGCCGGTTCCTTGGTTGGCCAATGTGGATGACTTTACGTCTTTTGATGGGCAGGTGAGGAGTCTTGGCGAGTGTCAACGATACGTATACGCATGTATCGAAATATAATCGCGGTCGAAGACTAGCCCTTTGCCTTTTTCATCGCGCCTTCGACGACGCGACCGCGACTACGTCCGTGGAACGACGCGTAATGTGACCGCAAGGACTCCGCGAGCCGCGGATTGAATACTGGGCACTCATGTTACTACAGGAGCTACGAATAACGGTAGGATTCAGTACATATACATATATTATTGAAACGTTATGGCGGTAAAATCAAATCAATTTATTTATTACTATTCTTTGTTTCTTTAATGCAATGTCCTTAAAATTGTCGTTAAAATATGAAATGTTTCGAATTTATGAAGCTGAATTTTCTTTTTGTACGTTTTTCACTACAAATGCAGTTGTCATAACTTTTTTTATTATTATATGTTTAATTGTCATATGTTACAAGATAGCAATATTTATTCGAATTGTAAGAAATGAAATAAAAGAATAAGTGATGAAGCAAAGATAATATACATACTTAACTTTTATCTGTAAGACTCGAATGCTACATTTATGGATTTAATACATTATATATTTTTGATTTATGAATATTTCTATCATTTTTTAATATAAATACATATTTTTATCACCTGTCTATAATATCAGTTAATATGTTATTCTGAAGAAGACATCGGAAACGTCAGATTTCTTCTCTTTATAATTTTATTAATTTTTGTTTATAATAATAATTATCAAAATAATTCATATTTCTTTCTTAGCTTGTGAATTTATTTATTTCTATATCTTATTTTATTCTTTGTAAATCATTATATATTTTTGTATAACAATATATCTACAAGCATGTATCTATAAGTTTCTTCAGTTAAATTTTTAAAAGGTTTTTGTATATAATACATAAAACCAACATTTATATAAATATTTATAAATAAAAAGATTCTACCATGGTATCTATATATATCTGTATACCCTTGTTGGTATGATATTACTTAATATTTTATAATTACACAATTATTTCATAAATACACACAGTACAATTAAATTACAAAAGCATTTCCATAAAAATATACAGATTAATTAAAATTATTATTTATTATTTGAATAAATACAATTTAAAAGTAAATATCACATATCAAAGTATAATTATTTATATACTTACTATCAATTAAATATAAGATACACATAATACCCTATATATACATATCTTCAATAATTAATATATATTTCTCCACTGCTAATAAGTACGTAAGAAAACGAATCTAAAAATCTTTTTATAACTTGTACTAATATCATAATCCTCCAAATATAATTAGCTATCGACGAAATTAATACCTACACGCCACGAGTCTTTTATGATTGTCAGATGACAAGACCTTATATAAAGAATATAATTTGAATTTAAATTATTTGCTTGCTTCAAAAGTTCTTACGGGTATAGGGTATCAGAAGTATTATTGACGATTGCGTCAATCGAGATTCCGGAAGGGTAGCCACGTGCATTCTAATCTCAACTTCCAACTGCCAGGCCTACACGAAGTACATGGAGGTCGTTTATCGTGGTGTTCCACCGATGGTTCGACGTATTCCAACGAAACACGTGGCCATAGTAATAGGAACGCAGGAAAATAAGTTGGCGTCACCTAGCCTACTTGTATTGCATGCTTTCCTAGTAGATGCGCGGGCTCCTTATACGGTTGTAGGCGGATGGTATCCTCTGGTTCTCCCTACTCTAGTCACTCGCCCCACTGCTGGCGCTTCTGATAACCTATTGCGTCATGCTTGCTGAATACGAAGCATGTGTGCGTTGAGTAATGGCCGCGTGCAGTGTTGTGTTTAAATATATCACACTGAAGGAACGTGAATACAATAATCAAAACTACTACCAACATTTTTACTTTTTAATTTAATTTAGTTATAAAGTTAATAATAATACATATTTTTATTATAAGCTAAATTTATTTTTACGTTTCCTTAAATTATAATGTCAATTACTTTGTTTAATAATTCTTTTAAGCCTCGAATACTTCGTTTCCGTTAATAATATAATGTTATATATTTTCTACAAGATAAATAATGTAATATTATGTATTTAAATTCATTTATTTATTCAGGATTAATTTAAATTGATAAATAATTAAGAATTAAATTTTAAATATAAATATTTTGGTACAAATAATTTGAATAATATTATATTAGTGTACTATATTAAATAAATAGACATTAAAATTATATTATATCAAATTTCTTATACTATACTGAATAAATAATTATTAACATTCGAATTTATTATTGTACATTATTCAAATGTATTTTCATTGAATTCAAATCTACTTCGTTTCGTGATAATAAATAATTCAATTGTTTATAATTATTTATTACTTACACTAGATATTGTTTAGTTATGTAGTGTACTCTTTGATTATAATTGTTTTTAACATCTTTCATTAACCTAACCTGTTGCTTGAAATGGCGCGTTCGCGGTAAATGGCGTGTCACGTTGTCATCGCGTGTAATTCGTGTTTACATGCGCGCCAACTGCGCGAGTCATCTGCGGACAGTCCTCTTTATATTGGAGTAACATGAAAGCGAGTAGGTTGCTACGTCCGGTCAATGGAACGTATTCATATATACATACATATATGCTATCGACTTTAATCTGGCTAAACGAACGTACTATATTTTTTTCTCTTCCGTTTCTTTATGCAGTTTTAACTTCCAAAGGCAGATTATTCCACAAACATATTAAACATATAAATATATTTTTCTATATTTATTTCATTACATATACATATATATTAGAACTGTCTTATAGACAACACTATACATTTAAATAGAAATTTTAATTGCTTCTTAAAGAATATACTACAAAGTACAATAGAATCTCATTCATAAAATATCTATTTAAAAATTCTAACTCCCACGACTTCGTTATAATCAAAAATAATTTTCCGAACTATTATCATTCATATATTTTCCATACCATAAATTAATCTCGAAAATATCTCTTGAAAAATATAAAATCAAGAGACAAAGAGATATTAATTTAATATTTGAAAGTATCACTCAAACTATAAACTTCATCACCACATATTCTATTATTTCGCGATATATTTCGCGATCAATTTTGTTTTTCCTTATTCAACCTCTTGTAAGTTTTTCATTAGCCAAACTGATTATGATTAACTCCATAAAAATATGTTAAAAATTTAATTCGTCATCAATGCTTCGTTATAGACTGAAATTTAGAAAATCCTATTATAACGCGATATATTTCGCGATCAATTTCGTTTTTCCTTATTTAACCTCGTGTAAGCCTTTCATTAGCCAAACTGATTATGATTCACTCCATAAAAATAATATATAACAAATTTAATTCGTCACCAATGCTTCGGTATATACTGAAATTTAGAAAAATTCCAAGAGCGATGTTAATCATTAGTCTGACAGATGTTTCCTTCCCGTCTGCCTGCTCACGCATGTCGACATCGTGCCATTTCTATATTTATCATACGTTCACGCATACCTACGAGTCCAGGTATCACAGCGTAGCATACACGAGGCACCGTAGCCGAATTCATGGAGATGCGGTTTGAGTTGGCCCGCGTTTTCGGCGATATTGAACCGCTAC